CAAATTTAAAAAAAAATAATATCCGTATTTTCATGCCACTAACGAAGTACTGATTACTGGTCTGGTGAAACCCTCCAGGACGAACAGTCCACCAGCAGAGGTATCGAACCAGTTGTAATTATAACACTAAAGGTACCAATTTTACTGCACCAGATACGTATTTTGACAAACACTGTCTCTTCAGTTCAGCAAAAATATTTGAAAATCCAAAACTTATTAAAGAAATGAAGAGGTCATAACCAACGAGGACAACATATTAGTCAAAACCGGGCAAGGAATTAGAGCTTTGCATGAGGGAGATATATTCTTTAATTTCTAATTATTTCAAAAATTTTGTAATAGCAAATTTGAATAACACAATATCTGTATTTTTATGCCACTACCTAAGTACTGACTACTAAGCTGGTGATACCCTCGTAGAGTCACCGTCCACAATCAGAGGTATCAAACACAATATCTGTATTTTTATGCCACTACCTAAGTACTGACTACTAAGCTGGTGATACCCTCGTGGACTCACCGTCCACAATCAGAGGTATCAAACACAATATCTGTATTTTTATGCCACTACCTAAGTACTGACTACTAAGCTGGTGATACCCTCGTGGAGTCACCGTACACAATCAGAGGTATCAAACACAATATCTGTATTTTTATGCCACTACCTAAGTACTGACTACTAAGCTGGTGATACCCTCGTGGACTCACCGTCCACAATCAGAGGTATCAAACACAATATCTGTATGTTTATGCCACTACCTAAGTACTGACTACTAAGCTGGTGATACCCTCGTGGACTCACCGTCCACAATCAGAGGTATCAAACACAATATCTGTATTTTTATGCCACTACCTAAGTGGAAGTACACCACTAATTCATGGCCCCATTGCTTTCTATGTTAAATTCCTCAATTTCAAGCAGACACAGCTCTTTTGTTTCAAGTTCAAATAAAGTGGCAATCATTGCATGTCAAAGCAACACTTTATGGTGTCTTGTACTGGAAAAATCAACATACCTTTAATGGCATATAAGAAAGAACTGGTTCCCGGAACTTCGGATGTACCAAAACAGGTACTTCAGATCTGACATACAGGCAAAAAGTACCCTCTTTATAAAATTTAGTGCAGTTTTTTTAATATTCAAAATTATAAGTCAAAGACTGTTCTACAATGATCACAAGTCATTCAGCTTTCATTTGATACCAACAATACCTAAATATTCTACATATTTTGAAAGTTACACTCATGCGTAGGAACTATTTTGTGTTAAATATGTACTACTTTCTGGTATGTGCTTTCTGGCCGGGCCGAATTAGTGGTGTTACACCTATAACAGAACTAAACTTTCTATACTGACTTCAGCATCACTTTATTTCATTCTATGATCTATTTCAAGCAATAAAAAACACATAAATCTTAAGTCCAAATACTATTTTACTAATTTTAAGCTCAAATTGGACTGGTAGTAACATATAGGTTATTCAAAGAAAACTGCATATGAATATTATAAATGGCCAATATACTTATTTTATTCTCAATATCATTGTTGTATTAAATAATTTCTGTTAGGAAACAATGTGCTTACCAATATTCATATTTCACCAGAGTTTGTTCATTTAATAAAAATATATTAGACCAAACCTAAGACATAATTGAGAAAATTGTCCCCCCTTTTTTCTTCAAATTGGAAAAGGGACATTTTTGGTATAAACCATACTTCTGTGGTACAACACAGATTATAAAGAGCAATTTATATATTTTGCAGCTGGATAACTTGCTAAACTGGTTCAAAATTGCATGTACAGTGAGATTTTGGAATTCTTATATGAGTATATACCAATTGCCTAGATTGTAAAAGGCTATCATAAGAAAACCAATAAAACTTGAAAAATCATAGGATTATTTGACCAAGAGCTATTTTTTTTTACCATAAACAAGTCATTATATACATGTTTGATTGATTGCAATCCCAAATAATGCAAAAATAAGAATTTGGAGTCAAGTCTTAACTGCATGCATGTTGTGTGACCATAAAAGGCTAAAATACCTGATTATGTCAATTTAAGAGCTGAAATTTCCCATAAACAGAATTGTTCATCCAAAAAAGATGATTAAACATGTTTACTTACATCAAATATGACTTATTTTCATTGGAATAGGTACAACTTCTAAAAATTGAATTTCTGATGATTCTCTGTAATAGGAAGTACACCACTAATTCATGGCCCCATTGCTTTCTATGTTAAATTCCTCAATTTCAAGCAGACACAGCTCTTTTGTTTCAAGTTCAAATAAAGTGGCAATCATTGCATGTCAAAGCAACACTTTATGGTGTCTTGTACTGGAAAAATCAACATACCTTTAATGGCATATAAGAAAGAACTGGTTCCCGGAACTTCGGATGTACCAAAACAGGTACTTCAGATCTGACATACAGGCAAAAAGTACCCTCTTTATAAAATTTAGTGCAGTTTTTTTAATATTCAAAATTATAAGTCAAAGACTGTTCTACAATGATCACAAGTCATTCAGCTTTCATTTGATACCAACAATACCTAAATATTCTACATATTTTGAAAGTTACACTCATGCGTAGGAACTATTTTGTGTTAAATATGTACTACTTTCTGGTATGTGCTTTTTGGCCGGGCCGAATTAGTGGTGTTACACCAAGTACTGACTACTAAGCTGGTGATACCCTCGTGGACTCACCGTCCACAATCAGAGGTATCAAACACAATATCTGTATTTTTATGCCACTACCTAAGTACTGACTACTAAGCTCCTGATACCCTCGTGGAGTCACCGTCCACAATCAGAGGTATCGACCCAGTGTAGAAATAACATTAACGGTACCAATGTTACTGTACTAGATGCGCATTTCGACAATCAATGTCTCTTCATTGATACTCGAATCCAAAACATTTGAAAATCCAAAATTTATTAAAGAAAGGAAGAGCTTATAACCAAATGTGCTTTAGTCAATTTTATTTTTATAGCGTTTATTGTACATGTGTAATTCCTCATATTTTAGTAATTATTTTGTGATAGCATATTCTCCGACTTTGTTTTTGTTGTTTTTTTTTCTGTTTGCTTTTATCGAATTGCAGTTTTTTCCCAGGTTGTGGAAAACATATTGAACAGGCTTTGAAGGATGTCCCGCCACAACAAAGATGTAAATGCCCGAGAGAGTCAAAATAATGGTGAAGTTTGTGTTTTATCCACTCCAACTGAACGTCTAATTTTGGAATATTTCAATATTTCAATATTCTATTTTTCATTTATTGAAAAAGCGCCATCGCTAATGTTACCTGAAAGAAAGAAAATAATGATGGTTTTGTATAGAATATAAACAAGATTGAACTCATCTATACGAAAACTTTAGGTAAATGAATTCTTGATGGTCAGTAAGTGGGTACGGCGAATTTACAAGAGATCGAGTTAGGGTTAAGTGTTAAGTTTGACTTCGAATTTGCATTTAGATGTGAGTCAATACATAAGAAAGAGATCGGATTAAAATCTATAGCTGATTTTAAAACGAATGAATTGAAATTAGGGGTATACGTCACCGAGACAGCAATCTAACAACATAAGCATCCGAACCGCTACAAGAGGTCAACATACAGTTTATATCAATAGATAGATCTTTTTACAAAATTCAAAACTCCTCCAGAATCTAAAACAAATCTGAAAGAAAAAAAGAAAACAATAAAACATCTGCATCAACACCAAATCCTTTAAGGATGTTCGCTACTCTGTTTCAAAATAACAAGCTTTTAAAAAGACTGTTATAAATTAATAGTATATAAATAAAGAAAGTAAATAAGCAGATAAAATTGAATGGTCCGTGTGCTTGTTGTCGAGATATAAGCAATTGAAAATTTGGCGGGAAATAGTTCTCTCTAGATTTTTCATACATTTAACATTGACACCTTTTTTTCTTTCAAAAACGATGAAAAAATAACAAGGATTTTATAATATTTTCAAGGATGACATTTTAAACTATATGTAATCAAATTATTGAAAGAAAAGTAGGGGTTAGTGGGCAAAATGGCACTAAATGGATAAAACCAGAGGATTCCGAATATCTGGCAAAAATTCAAAAACAAGAGGAACGAACATCCTTAATTAGCAACTGATGAGGTTCCTAGCATAGGACGGACACATAAATATGTAACAAGATTTGATAGCATTTTGAGATATTAGCCACACCATTTTAAATCTTATATAATTTGCATATTTACAAATACTTGACTGTGATTGGTCCTTTAGAACTGTTTTCCTTGGTTTACACTTCATTTGACCATGTTGCCGAACCTACTTTCGCAACCTATGAAAATACTATGTCGATTTAACTGTGATATATATTTATTCGCCAGATATGTGAATGAAATCCTTGGGTTCAAAGTTTAAGAGAAAAAAACCCAAATGTTTGGGTTGAGAATTGTAACGACTAAAAATATTTTAAAGAGGTTACTGATATGTAAACTGGTTCGCTGAATCAAGAACTTGACATCAAGCAGACTTTTTATTAAGTTTTTGAGTTAATCGGACCACACATAATAAATAACTTCTAAAAACAAATGTGTTTAATCCTAAATTAATCTCGATGAGTGGTATAATAAAATTTTATAAAAAAAAAACGTACAATTCAGGCAAACTAGCATCAAATACAAGAAGAAGTTAAAAAAAATATATCATTGCACAAACATTGTCATTATTATTTAAAAACAAATTTAAACTCTGACCTTTATATTCAAACTCGAAGTCCAACTCTAAATATTAACTCGAAGTTTAACTCTACTCTACGAAAGCCTATTAGGGTCACAAAAAAAAATTATTTATCTCGTATAAATATCTCGTAATTACGAGAAAACTATCGCGTAATTACGAGATAATTATCGCGTAATTACGAGATAGATATTTTTTTGTGTGACCCTTATAGGCTTTCGTACTATTGACTTAAATTTCCGTCGACTGCATTTTTTTTATAATTTCAGGATTTTTTTACTGAATAACGTTGGTTATTAGAGAACAGAAAGCAAGAGATAGTTATTTTATATAAACACATCTTTGTATTGATATATCCATTAATAATAAACATAATTCGTTGTTAATAATATTATTGTTTGTCTAAACAAAATAAAGAAAAACATCAGTAATTACGAAAAGTGGAAAGACCTTTTGATTTTGTTCTGATTATTTTTTTATCTTCTGCCGTCTGAGATTTTTTTTGTTACTTGACATATCGAAAGGATTTTTGACCCATGATATTGTACAGTGATTACGATTTCCCCATTCACCCTGCGTGACCAAATACTTTTTCTTATAGGAGTTATCTCCCCACAACCCCTTTTCTTGCTATCTATATTTCTCTGAAACCGTAAAAGATGTCGACACATTTTTTTCCAAATTGTTCGTATAGTCTTAAGGATGTTTTGGTTATGTTATACCGAAGTAATCCTATGACATCTTATGGGAGTTATTTCCCTTTTCAAATTTAAAAATTCATACACCACAAGTCATAGATACCTAAAGTCTTTTAATATTAAGTCCTTGGTCCATTTGGAGGAAATTGAGGTCAAGGTCAAAGGTCAAGGTCTTGTTCTTAATTTTGATTTTGCTTGTTATCTTTATTCCAAAGAAACCGTAACAGTTAATAATGAGATTCTTTTGCCAAATAATTGTTTACGACATGGAGCAATGTTTTGGTGACCCTTTATACATGTAGGAGTTCTCTCCCTTTATATATTTGAAATCAGTAAAACTCCTCAACCATACAAGTGAATGGATTGGGGTCTTTCGATATGAGATCACTGACCTATGACCTTGAAATTAGGCTCAAGGTCAAAGTTCAATTTGACGTTCTAGATTTTGACCTTTGCTAAAAATTGACTCTACATATAAATCAGAAAACCTTCATAACTAAACGTTTATTTTATTTTACAAAACTGGAATATGCCTTAATTTATACTATTTCAAATTATCTTAAACTTCCGTATTTACCGCCTTTAGCCACTTGTCGTTCCATGTTGTCGTTTTTGTTTGTTGAAATCGTTCTTTAGATACATTCTAACTGGAACGTAGTCCTTCTGTGTTTTTTTTTATCGACGGTAGCCTAGTTTGAAGACGATCTAAAAAGATGGAACCTAAATGGAATTGAATTTCGAATGTTGCCTCCTTCTTGACAATCAAATTGTTGCCACTTTTAAAGTATTGCACGTCTGATTCAACTACACAAATGAACAATAAAATTTAGCTTTTGTTTTTTTTACTTTTTTTCTGAGGATTAACAATTCACAGAGAACTTTTATGTGTATTTCTGTGAGGAAATAATTAGGTTGAAAGAACAGAATTAAGGTGACTTGAAATGATTAGTAAATACTGTTATGTGAGATTAACCTTTTAAGGTTACTAAAAGACGTAACCAGGTTTGCTCGGATGTTGTGTTATATGAAGGAATCAAACATGTCTACTGAGATGTAATAAGCCCTGGATACCGAAGATAAACAATCGGAATAATAAAAAAAAAAAAAAAAATTACAAAGCAATCTTATATTATTAATGACCCGGGTGTAATTAGCACCTCACACAAGCTTAACTAGTTTAACACCCGGAGATTAAGAATAACCAACCGCATTTAATAAAGCGCACAAAAGATTACGAGTCTCAGTGAAAAAGGTATCTACGTTTTGGCAAAAATCACGACAGAGATATTATAAGTTATATGGTTTGCTACTGACTCACTACGGATCCATAGAGGATTAGTAAAATTCATAAGGGTGAGACCGAAGGCCGAATCCCCTATGACTTTTACTTACCCTCTATGGTCCGTAGAAGGTCAGTAGTGAACAGTATAACGAATTTATCGCACACGGGACTTTTCCTGTCCCGTTTTGTAGAAAAAAAAAACAACGAAATTCAATAACATCAATAGATTGCGTCACCATTAATAGTAAACGTGACGTCATGAACCCCATATGAAATCTACTGACCACATACTATAAGTTATATGGTTCGCTACTGACCCCCTACGGATCCATAGAGGGTTAGTAAAATCCATAGGGGGTGAGGCCGAAGGCCGAATCTCCTATGACTTTTATTCACCCTCTATGGTCCGTAGGGGGTCAGTAGTGAACCGTATAACGAATTTATCGCACGTAGGACTTTTTCTGCTGCTTTTTGTAGAAAAATAAACCATGCAACACAACAACATCAATAGATGACGTCACCATTAACAGTAGACGTGACGTCATGAACCCCCTATGAAATTTACTAACCCCCTACGGATCCATAGGGGTCACCACGTGACGGCGTTAAACCAATGACAACGTGATAATTTACCCGCGGTGCGATAAGGATTCATAGGGGTCACCACGTGACGGCGTTAAACAAATCATAACGTCATAATTTATCAGAGGTGCGATAAAGATAGATAGATAGATTTATTTGATCAAATAACATCATAAAACATCACAAAAGTAGTATAAAACAATAGCAGACAAGTTTACATACTAAAATCATAAAACAATTGATGATACCTAATCAGGATTGCCCATGAAAGCCATACGGCTTATATATATAATTATTTCCAATAGGGTTCCTTTATGTTACATTTTTAAACATATTGAATATAGTTATATAAGAAATCATGACTTTGGCAGGTTTTATGTTAATTATGTTAAAATTATAATTTACGATGACTTTGAATATTCAATAAAATAAAAGTTTGCTATTAAAATCGTTGCTTTCCTTTTTTGACAGAAAATCTTTAACACCAGATTAGTAAGATTCAAAATATTTGTTGCTCTTTAATTCATTTGGCAACACATTCCAATCCTTTATAGCATTATAATTAAATGTTAAAGCCTGCTGCCCTTTTATAGGTGGTTTAAAAAATTATATTCACTAGATCTTGTTGAATAATTATATCAATCTTTCATCTTAGTTAAATTTCCTTGCATGTAGTAAGGGGTTTTGTTTTGGAATATTTTATATACATGGTTGAGTCTTAGTTATTTGACTCTATTTTTCTACATTAAAAAAACCAATGCTATTTAGTACATTAAAGTTTACAGAAGTTCTATTTCCCATATCTTTAATAAATCTACCAGATTTATTTTGAAGTTTTGAAATATTTTTTAACTAGTTTTCAAACTTTTTACACAAACAAGAATACCACGCTGAAAATGCATAATCCAAATGGCATTGCTATATATAGTTTTTCTAGAGTTTTCTGATAGACATCGACCATGTATATAAAGGAACTTCAGTCTTGCATTCACTTTTTGTAAAATATTACTGACAATAATTTCCCTAGACAAATATCTGTATATGTTTAGGCCCAAGTATTTTACACAATCTTGAGCTGGAATAATATGGTTATTGCAGCTGACTTGAAAATTTTCAACCTTTTCAAGTTTGCGTTTAGAACCAAACAAAATACTTTCAGTTTTGCCCAGATGAAGGGATAATTTGTTATCAATTAACAGTTGACTGCAAGACTGGGGTCCCTTTCCAAGTTTTTCAGATATTACCCCCGGGTTCTCACGTGAAAATAAAATTGTGCTATCATCAGCATATAATAATAATTTACAATCGGAACTTATACTAATAGACATATCATTTACATAATACAAAAAATTAAAGTGGACCCAAAATACTACCTTGAGGTAATCCACATGTAACTGTTTGAAAATTAGATTCAAAGCCATTTACATTTACTTTCTGCTTTCTCTCTGTCAAATAAGATTTTAACCATTCTATGGATTTTACACTTTACACTCATTGTTTGTAGTTTGTTACATAAACTATAGAATGGTCAACTGTATCAAAAGCTTTTTATAGATCTAACGTTATCATACATGTACCAGTGTAGAGCACAATAGATGACAATGTTTTTAATATGATCAAGTAAATGAATTAAACATGTCACCGTAGACCTAAAGCTAGACTGAAAGCTATATAACAAATCTTTTTTAACTAAATAATTTTCAAACTGAGAATAAATCGATTTCTCGAGAATTTTAGATACGATAACGAAAATGATAAGAAGCCTATAATATCCAACCTCTAGTCTGCTGTTCTTTTTATACTCTAGCTTTTTTCATGTCATCTGAGACAATACCACTGACGATAGACAGATTAACTAAATATTTTACAGGTTTTGTTTTAAATACATGCACCATCTCTTATGAACCGCGGAGGAATACCATCGAAACCGGTACTCTTACATGGATTTAAACGTTCTAACTCTTTAAAAACAAATTCTTCACTCATAGGTTTTAATTTCGAAGTAAGTATTACTTAAATACACTTTTCAATAAAAAATCTTACAAATGTGTGTACTATCATCAAAAACCATTGAAGCTGATGGTAATTATGAAACCAGAGAGGCAGCCACATTAGTCAAAAATATGTTAAAATGATTTGCCACTGCATTTGGATCAATGTTATTTTCATTTTCTATATTAGAAACTATATTGCTCTTTTCTTTCTGCTTTGCCCAAATTTTTGATGAACTGCTTTCAAAGACTTTTTGGACTATTTTTATTTTCTTCAATCTTGTTCTCAAAATATGTAGATCTTGCTTCTTTGACAACTCTTTGTGTTGTGTTTCTATATTTGAAAAATTCTGAGAAAAAATGTTTGCTACCAGTTTTTTTTATACATGCATAATAAATGGTCTCGATTTTTTATTAGTTCCAAAATATCTGATGTAATCCAGAGTTCTGTGTGTTTTTTTAACCTTTACTTCTCTTATTTATGCTACCTCATCTAGAACTGATATAAACATATCTCTAAATATACCCCAAGCCAAATTTATATATTTACATATATATAATTTTGACCAATTAGCTGCATTTAGTTTCTAAATAAACTTTTTTTTTTCAATTTTCCTTGCACAGTATATAAGGAAATGACCACTCAAATAAATATTTAAGACTCTTGACTGACTAACATTTTCTTCACAAATTACAATATGGTCAATTAATGTTCTAATAGTATATGTTGTTCTAGTTGGCTCTTTTATAAGCTGTTTTAGATTAACCAAATTTAACATATTGGTATAGTTTCCACATAAGAAAGACATTTTATTTATTAAGCAAATGTTTATATC